TTGCTATGCTAGGTATTCTATATACAGACGAATTTCATATAATTTCACAAGGGATATGGTGACATCGCGATGTTCATTGATATAGTGACCAGAACAGCGGTAAATTACAGTAGTTAACTACAAAATCTAGATGAATCATCATTTTATCCATCCGAAATAGGAAAATCTTGGCAAAATTATGCAAATCAGGTTCTGTCAGGTTCGAACCTGAGTCGAACCTGATGGAACCGCGACCCGACTCAGGTTCAGGTTCGAGGTTCCGACCTTTGGAACCTGAGTCGGACCATTTCGAGGCCTAGGGAAGTCCTCCCGATTCGTTAAGAAGCTCAAATGAGTTAGGGTGATGATACGGCGACACCCCCTGGGGATACAGCAACACCCCCCTTACCCGATCGGGTAAGGTTTGGTCATGTGATGGTCATGTAACCACTGCAAACTCCGAAGCGAACTCAGCAGAGGATGAAAACAATTTAATTTACCATATAAATTTGATGATAGGATTCGTAGTATTAACTTATTCTACTTCTACCTCCTAATTATATGTCTTATCCACTAATCAGATCATTTGAATGATTCCCTCAGGAATGTGATTGTAGTAACCGTCCTGTAGACTGCACACGCCCATACTTACGCCTGTACCCATACCCTCTGCAAGACCCCGAATACTAAGGCTGAGTTCGACGAAGCCGCAACGTAGTAGGGGTCGGCTAATAGACATAGCTTGTAACTACGATATTAGTACGATCAAAGTTAGGGTAGATAAGATAAATTGCATGGTTTTGCTAGTTTGCTTGCAATGTTTATACTCTTCATTATCTCTCAAGCCATGATATCTAACTTTGAAATGCTCTGGGATACAGCAGGTATATACCTTTAGACAGTGAATAAAATGATGTCATATGGCCATTCATCTTACATGCTGTATCTAATTGAGTGGAGGCAGTCTGGCAGAACACTTATGAAACGACAGGGTGAAGACAGGGGCAATCAGGTAACGGGTCATTAGGAAATAAGATCTTGCAAATAGCGTTTCAATGTTCTCTATCAGTCTGCTCAACTTTCTCAGTTACTCAGCTGTTGCGCAGATAAAGTTGGCATTGGGTCCCACTGGACGGTTTGTGACGGCGCTGGCAACCTACTATATAAGTGAGAGCAGTTCTAGGACTGGCGTCCTAGAATCCTAGTCTTTTGCTCCTGGCGCAGCGGTTTAACTCTTTAGAATGCTCCCTAGAGATTAGGTCGTGACACGGTTAACATCATGAATGTGTGTGTCCCTTTCATACTCAGTCTTGAAAATTTCTAAGCATCTCAGACGATCTATGGGCAAACGGTACTTGCGACTAATACCTCATGGTCTAACATACATGTTCGGAAGTTCTCTGGGTGCCGCTTGAAGAAGAGACACGCGAACTGTAAGGCTTAGTCTTCTGATTTCACTGCTTTGAATCGCTTAGAGGGCTTCTGGCTGCAATCACCATTACCGTCATAATGGTCACCACAATCGCTATCATCATCGTGGGAAATCTCGTGCGCTTTTCTCTTCTTCCCTGAAGGGGTCCCGTCTTCGGGGCCGGATTGAAAAGAACAGGCAGAAACATGACCTGATGACGCACCATAAGCCTGGTATGCGTTGCAAGGCTGTAGGGCCTGTGAGTATAGGATCAGCTTGTACAAGTGCTCCAGCCGCTAAATGGTGGCTTCATCCCACTTGCGCCCAGTATAGAATTAGGCATCCTAATCATCGAACAATTACTCCTCATCCGCATGTATTTATCATCTGAGTCTGTGCTTTCACTTCCCACTGGGGACCATTGCCTTTGTTCAGAGACGGGAGAACTATCCTCTGACAATGGGCAGACAATTGCGTTTGAAGAGATCCGTGAATTGTAGCCGGGCTCTGGTGGTGTACTTGGCTCTTGAAGCTGATTTGTCGACTGTGATAAGCTTCATTTGGCGCGGGTACTGATAGCTGCTGGGCATTGTTGGTTGTCTCATGCCTTGTCTCCCTCGTCTCCTTATGCCTTCTGGAAGCGTTGAAGGAATAAGGGGTGCCCTGAACGGGCTTATCACACAAATCACTGACTGATAAGGGTTCCGGCAGAAGTATCGGAACACCCATCAAACTCATGTTTGCCGTGGCTGTTGCGAGGCAACGCGCACTATGCGTCTGACAGGGTATCATATTCCTCGTCATGAATTGTGGGTTTAGCGGACTCGCCCCATTCCAACCTGGATCCCGAGTCGGTGCTAGTCATATTTGGTGCCAAATGGTCATCCGTCGTCGGGTCCGGTTTGATATACTCCGGAAGCGCAGGATACATAGAAGCCCTTGGAGATAAATATCACACACAGCTCATTCGTAAGAAACATACGGTAGCATTGGATGTGAATACTAAGCTTGAGAAAGAAGAAGAAGAAGAAAAAGAAAGAGGGAAGGAAAGAGAGGGAATCTATGTACGGCTTGAGCGTGAGACATCATGGTGCTGTTGGTTGTACAAAGCAAACGGAAAATCCCCAACAGAATCTCTTGATATGGAATCACTTCAAGATGGCGGTTACCAGTCTGGTACGGCAGAATGTGAGCAACCTCTGAGAGGGCTGTCACACTCGGCCACGCTTCTGGGTGAATAGAACTGCTTCTGTCTTTTCTGCGTCAAACTGAACCAAATTCTCCTGACCCCATTTGGTAGCTACCTCTGCTGCTTCTTGTAGCTTACTGCATGTTTCTTGTAGCTTACTGCATGTTTCTTGTACTGAATATCCTGGGGCTAGGAGGCCTATATCATCCGCAAAAGATAATGCATGGACCCCTGGGACTGCCCTTTCTATCACACTGAACACCCCACTGATGTAGATGAGGAATAGAATAGGGGATACTGGGGATCCCTGAGGCACTCCTGAGTTAATGCCGTGAGTTGGGCATTTTATGTTGTCAACAATTAGTTGGACTTGTCTGGTTGTTAGGAATGACTGCACCCATCGAATCAGATCCCCGTCTAGGCCTAACTCTATCATTCTCATCACAAGCTTCCTTGGATTGACATGGTCAAACGCCCCCTTCACATCCATGAAAAGGGCACCCATGAGCTGCCGTCGTCTCCAGGCTTCATGGGTGCTCTGGATGAGACATGCAACTGCGTCAATTGCACTTTGCTGTTTGCGACCTCCCATCTGTCCTGGGTGCAGGCTGCTCATAGCCTCACAGTAGCTGGAAATAGCTTCTGCAGCCACTTTCTCCACAACCTTCCCCAGACAGTTCAGCAAGCTAATAACCCGATATGCCTTGACTAAAGTGTAGTCAGGTTTATTAGGCTTTCTGAGAAGGATGCCTTTGGCTGTTTTCCATGCCTGTGGGTGAGTGCCTAACCGGAAGCATTGGTGAACCAGAGCTACTATCCTAGGATTGTCCCACTTCCACAAAAGCCGAAGAGCACGAAAGTTGAGCTTGTCGATGCCTGGGGCTTTTTGGACTGCCTGGTGCCAGAGGGCTTGTCTGACCATCTCCTCATTCACACGCGTATGCCATGTTCCCGGGGGAATTTCTATAGCTTGGCTGTCTCCAGGTGCTGGTGGAAATGCTGTCTCCCGGATTAGGGCTTCTTTCTCACTAATAGAAGTAGCTATCTCTCCCTGTGGCCCCTGGAGGGTGGGAGTAGTAGCTGTAGCTTTAGACTTAGTAAAGCCTAATGCTAGCCAACACCGGGCTACATCATCTGGACTAGGCCGGTCCAGGGGATCTGCAGGCTCAGGTCCCTTTAGGAAGGCTTCCCAGCATTCCCTTTTTGAGCGCCGAATTGTCCGGTAGTAGCTGTTTCTGATTTCCTTAAGGTCTTGAGTAGAGATGGATTGTGTCTGAGACGCTTGCCTGGCCTGACTGTAGGCCCTTCGAGCTGATTTAACCTCTTGATTCCACCAGCGTTTGGACCTTGCAGTGACTCTTATTGGTTTAGCATGCTGGTCCAGTACTGCAGTCAGAGTCTCTTGAATCCATACTGCCTCCTTTTCCAGGTCATCAGCTGAGCATGAGTCATCTAGTTGGGTTCTATGCTCTGCATGTGACCGCCACTATTGTTCAGCTCTCTCTAGGGCCTGGGGGTCAGCCTGGAGGGCCTGGATTTGCCACCCTGTCACCTCCCTTGATGGAACTGTTGATACACGTTCCACCGGGGCCCATTCCATGACCACAACCTCATGATCTGAACCTGTCGGATGGTCTTTATCCACTGTCCAGAGCTGTAGCGGGCCCATGCTGACTGTAGTTAGGGCCAGATCTATGATCGAAATCCCTGGGGTTGCTTTAGGTCTCCTAGCTCTAGCCCAGCTTCCAGCGCCGTAATTGTGACTGCATAGGTCTTGCGGCAGTTGTGCTGAAGAACCTGCATTATTAAACGCGCCCAGGCCTTCCAGAAGTCTGGTCGTTATGCAGGTCCATTGCTTCCCTAAGCATTGTAGGAAGCCTGGGTGTTCGTGGGCTTGCTGCGTCCGAGGAGCTTCGTACTCTGGTGGCGGAATGGTTGCGGTCTACTACTGTGTACTATGGGGAGCTTGGAACAGTTTGTTCTTGATCAGCTTGGTGTGTTTGTCCATTCTTCTGTTTCCTGTATTTCTGTGCCTCTCTCCTTGCTGGACAACTTCCTGCTGTAGCTTGGTGAGGACCTTCATAGTTCCTATATTTTGCTGGTATGTGTTGACAGGCTGTTCCAGGCTTAGCTAGGCAGTTGACTACTTGACAGACATGTTTACTGCCCTCATGTGGGCCGGCGCATATGAAGCAACATGGTGGGCGGTCTCCACAGGCCTTAAAGCTGCGATGGCCCAGTTGGCAGCATCTGGAGCAGACTGTGTCTGCTCCGACCTCCCAATAATGTTCGGTCCTATATCGTGACCCTCCAAAGTGGATGCCATTCACTAGGAGCTTTTGGGCCTCTTCCAGAGACCCTACTGTGATGAGTAGTTGAGCCCTTCTTCGTGCTGTTGGAGAGCTCTTGGGTATTCCGGAGCTAGGTAGGGTCTCTCTTAAGTCGGAATTCAGTGCCTAGCTCAATCTCCTCTCGAGCTAGATTTAAGCTGAAGCTCAAATAACGTCTGATGGGAACTCCATGAACCTTAATCCGATACCATTGCTCTGGAAGCTCGACAGAGATAACTGCAGGGTCGGCCTGTCGGATAGCTGCCACAAGTAGGTCCTGATGGTTGGGAAGGAGCATAGATCCTAGGGCTTTCTTTTCCAAGAGAACTGAGATTGCCCCTGTGTTGCTATATCCCGCATCAACTGCGCGTATAAATCCTGGGAAGCCCTCACTAGCTAGTCTACGGTTGACAGCTAGTATAATGTCCTCCCTCTCTGCTCTTAGGGCTGTTTCCCCCTTTTCACGACGAAAAAGTAGCCTCCGGGCCTCTTTTGGAGACTCTCTGGCTGGCTTGAGGTTGCTAGGTTCTGGCTGCTTGATTGGGTCTGCCTGTCTTTGCAGTTTCTTCTTTTTCTGGGGAACTTCCTGCCATCCTTGGCCTCCTGGAGTGGTAGCTAGCAGGGCTGCTATATCTGCAAAGGTTGTCTGTTTCTGATTCAGTGTCCGGCTAGGCTTTGGCGTGTGTTTTGGCAGTTCAGTTTGGACCTGGGCCTGACCCTGGCTTCTGGCCAGTTGCTTCGTCTGGTCCATTACTCCATGCCTTTGTATAGCTTGTTGGGCTTCTCTAAGCTCTGTACGGAGTGTTCTAACCTCGGTTTCAAGTTCGGCAATCTGTCCCGTGTAAAGGCCTTCACGTATTTGTTGCTGGGCCTTCCAGCTTTGCAGTTCCTCTGTCACCTGTGCCTGTAGTTGTTCTAGACTGTCCTGGTAGGCTTTCTGTAGCTCAGCCCGGGCTAATTCTAGGAATCCTGCAACTGCTTTACCTGTGTCCATTATCCCTGTGTTTGGAACGGGTCAGGTAAGGACCTTCAAGGTCTTGCGTTTGATTCCGTTTCGGGTCTCGCTGGCCCGGCTTGGGGCCCTAATGGACCCTGATATATTGCCTGACCGAGTTGCAACCAGGCTAATTGTCTCATTAAGAGACCCTATCATCTCCTCAGGCCTCCAGCGGTTTGGTGTTGGGGTATCCGGGGCGTCTGGGACGTCCATCACTTCCTCGGGCGCGACCGGAGTCGACGCGTCCATCACACCACCACCATGGGGTTTGAGGGCCTCCATGGCGGAATTTAGGGGCCAGGGGGCCTCTATTAGTCGATTGACGCGTTAAAAAGACGTGTTTTTCGTAGGTGCTGATTTTGGTGTTCCCAGAGGTACGCAGTAGTTGACACCACGCTACTATCTGTCCGCGCCCAGCGACAATACGACCCATTAACAAGACCGCGGGCCTACTTATTAAGACAGCTACGAATGGGTCACTCTTTTCTAGCCACATGCGCTAAACTTCATTGTTTCAGTGGGAATGATCAATATGAATTAGTGCAAAAGAGACAGTGATCCACGTCTTAATGGAATGCCCCAAACTCAGTACTCTACGACCGAAGCCACAAAAACAAATAGGGGAATCATTCAACGACATATCACTCATGCTCGGAGGAAAGAGTCAACAGGATTCGAGTGGAAACCCTGTTGGCATGTCCCAAGGCACAGTGCTTGGCGAAGTGTTAGATTTCGGAGAAGCATAAGGTAGGCTACCAAGCCGCGGATCCAGGGACCGCAATGACAGGAAACAAAGGCAAATAGGCCACCACTGGCCCTGACGAGGCTCTAGGTTCGTCGGAAATGTTATAGTGTAAATACGCATTACAAGGATAGTTGCTCCCATGTGGGCGTTTTGGCCATAGAGCTTTGCTCCCGTGTGGGCTTCCTATCATTGGGGCCTCGTCGCCGCCGTGTGTTCTTAAATCGTTTCTCTTAACGTTGCACTCAATCACCCACTGGGGCCCCCTGTACAGGCCTGGCATGAGGGTTATTCAGAATGCGGCGGGCCTCTTCCAGGTATGAATGATTCCGTATCTGGGACCTCTGCTGTTTGGTCAGATATTGTGGCCGCCAATGACTCTGCTCTGTGACAGCCCGTACCAGTTCCACGTCTGGGTCTAAGTGATGGATTTATTTCACCGTAGAGCGCCATAAGACCGCCATCTTTCGTAGACTCGGAATTTTGGATTTCCCGACTTGCAGGCACTAGTAGATCTTTAGCACCAGCTAGCTCTGCTCGCATAGCATATATGGTTTTAATTGCTTCGTTCAGGCTTTTCAACGACTGTCGTAATTTGGAAGGAGTTTCACGGGAAAGTATCAACAAATCATGCGAATCATCATCGACGCCGTTGTCGGATAGCCCGATTAGTTCGCTCCGGCCAATAATCTCACATGTAAGGATCGAGCACAAGCGTTCCTGAATGATGCGGGCCTCCGATAGAGCTATAACCTGATTGAGGATAAATCTGCTGCCGGACAGGTCCGTGATCGAGCAAAGCGGTTGCTCCTCACCAGGATATTGGCCACGAGCTCCACCTAAGTAGGCAGGCATAGCGTTGATTAGACCAACAGTCTTCTCGAGATGGCCAACATACTCTCCGAGGAATTTCCCGATTTCATTTTGCAGATCAGGCCAGAGTTTACATGCAATGATCTCTGGCAACTCCAAATTTTTTTGAACCTGTGCAGATAGGTCACTAGCTCTTCGACGAAAGTCTTTCAATTTTCCATCACCAAACCGATCTTTAATCGCCCCTAAAGCCATCCTAAGTTCGTCACTCGGGCAGATTGGCGCTCTTGCTGGTTCAACGAATTTCAGAAGTAAAAAAGACCCTTCAAGCCCTGTTGTGCTAGATTTCGGCGAGCTATGGTAGAAAGCTCTCTGTCGGTTCCCGAGAATAAGGAGCTGCAAGAGAACCTTCTGGAAAGCAGGGTTATTGAAGAAGTAGTTCCTCCAAAGTAACGTTGCCCTTGCTACCATAAGTGCCCCGTTCTCGTAAGACGTGTCCCATAAGTAACTGACGAGAGTTGAGATATCGTCCCTCCAGACACGTGAGACTTTTGATTAGTTCTAAATCCTGGAAAACCTTTCTCAATGTCGATAATTTCGAGTAGTTTCGAGCGGAGAGTATTCTTGGCGTCGTTAAATGAAAGAAGCTCTTTCTTCCTTTCGAGAAAATTCGCGGCCGCCATCTTAGATATTTCAAGGATCCACTCTGGTGGCTGCTGATGGTGGTATAGCTCTAAGGAGGCGGCAGTGAAGTGATAAGCGAGGAGGACACAGTAAACAGGCTCGCACTTGTTATAGTGCACGGCCGTCGCGGGGTGGAAAGAATGAATAATATTGGTGTCTCTCCCATCGCGCCTTATTGTAGAATGCATCTCGAGTGAGCCCACGCCCCTGGATCGGAAATGGGACACGTATTCATTTCTATATTCACCACTCCAACAACATATGACTACTCTTGGTTGTTTTATTTTCAAGATTTCTTCGACGGTATTCAGGCAATCCGAATCAGTTGGGAGAGTCTGTGTACGTTCGGGCTTAAGCAAGAATGCATCAAGGACAGAGACAGTATGAATACTCCGCGCTCCATTAGTGGCGAAGCTGATCAGCTCGTCGACAGCTTGCAAGGTAGGAGAGTCTCAGACAAATCTCTCAAAGTCCGCGGCATAATTGTGGTCGGGCGCGGGTCGCTCTAGAATAATCAATAAATCTGAAGGACCAGTGGCGAGGCAACATGCCATCTGAACCTGTTGCTCAGGTGTCTTGGAGCGAAGCCCGAGAGCACGTATAGCCTCGAAAACCCGCTGATCTTTAGAACCAGCCAAACAAATGGGTGGCGAATCCGGTAATTCTCGCAAACAAGAGGGGAGGCCAATCCCTAGCCAGGAACTTAGCAGAGATGCCTCTATTTCTTTTCGTCGAATGAGTGAATGGTAAATATGCAAATTCATCTTGTTGTTGGACACAGGTTCAGTTATTGGAAGCCGCATTGGAAATCACATGAGCTGCTTCCAATGGTGCCGAATGGGGCACGCTCACGTGATTATGTCCTAAATAGGCTTAGTGATGATCACACCGTTCATAGGGACATTATTATTAGTGCAAGGCTGATATGAAAGGGGATTTCTGAGGCTAAACCAGCCAAGACGCTAATGACCCCACGGCAGGTCTACTCTTCAGCTGGTTTCCGTCCATCCGTTTTCTATTTGACATCTACCTAGTCTCCCGCTTGACGTGACCATAACAATTTGTTTGTACCTTGATACCTTGGAACGAACTCTTAACTTAAGCAAAGCCATCCCTTTATTTCCCGGCCGATCCGAAAGTCTACAGCACTCATAAATCGTCGTCCTGCCAGGAACTCAGACGCTGCATCAGTGCAACTTGCACCACACTCATTCATTTATTATCTGAAAATATGGCGGTCTTTACTTCAGTTCCGGTTGAAATCATGATTATGATATGTGGTCATCTCAGTTCCTGGGAAGACACTTTCCACCTAGCCCTAGCAAGCCAAGGAATGCACCAAAGAAAATCTTCGAGAACCATTGCCTTGAGCGGCTGCGCGTTGAGCCATCTGCTCGCATGAGCCTACGAGATGCAGTGAACAACAGCAAGGACCATCTATTTATTATTGCTGGCTTACGTGCACTTTGGCGAGTGTGTCAACAGTTATTGCTGTATAAAGACATGATCTTCCTAGATTCAGGAATGCGGTTAGCGGAGCTAGAAGAAAAACTTGGACGCTCTGATGAAGCTCTGCACATTCTAGCGACAATTTGGGAAGTTCAAACACGGCATGGGACCCTCCAATCTAGGGCACTTGAGGCAGCAGAGAAATTGACATCGCTGTACGAGAAAACCGGACGTCTCAAGAAAGCTATCGATATTCAGCTACTGATTTGGAAAAATCTTGGGAATTTGGCAATGTCGACAGCGGAGAAGTTGACAGAGCTGTACGAAAAAACCGAACATCTCGACAAAGCTATCAATATTTAGCACATAATCTGGAACAGGCGTGAATGCCGTGAGGACCTCCAAGATTTGCCAATCGCAGCAGCAGAGCGGTTGGCCGAATTGTACAAAAAAAGGGAGCGCATTGATGATGAAGGTCTCCGAATTCTACAATCGATCTGGTGCGCGGGACATAACGGGGAACCACACCAAGGGGGATCCCAGAGACGGATCAGGAAAAGGGAATCCCAGGTAGCTAAAAGCCTGACGGGGTTGTATGAGAAAGCCGGGTGGACTGACGACATTCTCCGCGTAAGAGACCAGCTCGAAAAGAAAAGGCAAGCCCGAGAGGAGCGGCTCCAGCAACTACGTCCGCGACGAGGCAGGGCAGGGCGTAAATGAGATTCTTCTTTTTTGATTCCCCCTTTTTCTTTTTTGCTACAGTAGGGCTGCTATAATGGGTCTGTGTTATGACGAGGGGAAACTAAGTTTCCATAGCAAGATCTCTGGGATAGCTTTTTAGAAATGTGCCAACTTGATGTTATTCTGGTGAGTCTATAAGGAAATTCTATGCCTCATGTGAGTGAACGATGAAATATACTGTTTATGTAACTCTTGTGGATTGAGGTTGCAAACTAGAGACATGTAGCAATAGCAAGGCTTATATCTCCTCAATCGCGGCCAGGAGATGTCATCGCGTGAACGCTCTCGCGCTACTTGCAGAACATTCTCGACGAAGACCCGGTGGCCGACCAGCCCAGCCACCTCCCGCCATTCTGGCTCATTAACAACGGATAATTCCGCTCGGTAATCATGATATCAGCGCCATTAGTGATAGCAATGCCATTTCGGACGGGATCTTCAGCCTCGTGTCCGAACAAAGTTGCGTAAATTGTCTCCGCTGCAGATACACGGAGCGCCAAATCAGCCCAACCGTGTAGCCGACAGAAGAATCAGACGAAGCGGGCCGCGTTGAAAAGATCAAGGTGGCCGCGGCGAATATTTCGATGACCGGATGGCCAAATGGCACCGAGCGTTTGGAGTCACCAGGTGATGCTTGGTGGGATCCGGCGCTGCCGGAGTGCCGCACGCTTTTGCGGATATTTGTGGCAGAAATCTCAGAACATTTTGTACGATTGGTCATTCATGAAGCAGCCTAACTTTTTCTTCCTCGCAAAGTGTGAAAATGTTGTACGCAGCGAGGTTCCGGGGTGCAGGACCCGGCCATTCGGGCCATCCAGCGAGGAAGAGCCCCTGGTCGCAGTGATGCCCGCCG